CTTGATGACCTTTTCATTTCGGCACCAAAAAGTCTGAGTCAATGCATACTCGCAGTCAAGTTTTCCAAATTACGTGAATTCACATGTGCAATCAATAGGAATCAATAATTGACTAAAATAGAAGCCCCTTTAACAACAAATTGCTACCATGTCGTAGTCTTGTAGACAATACTTATATTCTGAATTGTCAGTAAGTCAGGCCCGTAACTAAGGGGCATGGGAGCAAAGGCCCTTTCCCCCCCCCCCCTCCCATGCAAAAAGTTCCCCCCCCCCCCCTTTGGAAAAAATAATCGACCATAAAAACAATAGATATGGATTGTCCATCAATTTTACAGCACCCCTTGAGAACACTTCCCGCTCCCCTCATTGCTCTAAGCTAGTTAAGTCCCTGTGCAGTAAGTAATCATTATCCAAAATAGTTGACCTCATTATTAAAGAACAATTACAATTGGGATGCGACCAATCTGAATTTTCACACAAAATAGGTGCCGTTGTCATGGATAAATTACAAACGGGCTATGATGAATAGCACACCCCCACCCCTACAAAATACATCATGTATTATAAGTAGGTTACAAAGGAGAGAGAGAGAGAAATGGGGTTTAACGTCCACTCGACACAAACTAGGTCATTTCGGGACTAACATGGTTTTTAATTTTATTTCAATAATTCGCTTGCGCGTAGGGGTCTTTAGCAGTGGGAGGAGAGAGAGAGAGAAATGGGGTTTAACGTCCACTCGACACAAACTAGGTCATTTCGGGACTAACATGGTTTTTAATTTTATTTCAATAATTCGCTTGCGCGTAGGGGTCTTTAGCAGTGGGAGGAAGCGGAGGACCCGGAGAAAAACACACGAGTTTGGACAGGCAACCCTACTCCTTGTCACGTACAACCGGGGATTCGAAACCACGCCAGTTGACTCAATGACAGGCCTTAAGATACAGCCCGCAGCGCACATGTGCTAACCATTCGGCCATCCACCCCCCAGTTACAAAGGATTCTAATAATTTTATTTACGATAAAACTCAGGCTTTAAAAATTGTGGATATGAGAGATAATTCAATTTTTTAATTGGTACAGACTTGAAGGTTGGCGCATGCAGCGTGTGAAAAGAATACTTAATCATCTAGTTAGGGAGCTAAGTTCAGATTGTTTCGAAAATCGCGTACAAAATTTCTACTATGCTAGTTGAGTGGGCAGCGGTGTGCGATACTCTGAGTGGGGTTGGATGACTGAATGGTTAGCGTGCGCGCGCTGTATCTTAAAGTCTGTCATTGAGTCGACTGGCGTGGTTTCGAATCCCAGGTTGTACGTGACAAAGAGTAGGGTCGCCTGTCCAATCTCGTGGGTTTTCTCCGGTTTCCTCCCACTGCTTAAGACCCCTATGGCAAGCGAATTATTGAAATAAAATGAAACCATATGTTAGTCCCGATATGACCTAGTTTTTGTCAAGTTGACGTTAAACCCCATTTCCTTCTCTGACCCTTCCTTCCTCCCTTAAGAATACCCCCTTTACCCCCCTGAGAGAGGGGTTAATTCGCCTTTGCGTACAACATTAATTTTTTCGTTAAAAGTTTCACTATTGATCCGCTAGAACATGACACTAACTTAAGAACGCGAAATCCCCTTCCATTCCGGATAAGAACCACAAAAAGGGGGACCTATGGGTGAAATAAACAAACTGACGATTTAATTCAACTTTTGCGTACAACGATCAACTTTTGTGCAAACGTCGACCAAAATCAGATATTATAAAAAAACACTGATTAAGAAGACCCACGACCCTTCATTCCTCCCTTAAGAACACCCCCCTTACCCCCCAGAGAGACGAGTTAATTCAACTTCCGTGTACAACATTAATTTTTTCGTTAAAGTTTCACTATTGGTCCGCTAGAACAGAACACTTACTTAAGAACGCGAAATCCCCTTCTATTCCGAATAAGAACGACAAAACGGGGGACCCATGGGTGAAATGACCAAAATGACGATTTAATTCGACTTTCGTGCATACATCGACCAACCTCGGATGTCATCTAAAACACTGCTTAAGAAGACCCACGACCCTTCCTTGCTCCCTTAACTCATTGACCCCTAGACTTAATTCATTATCTACTCCCGTCTCTCCCTAAGCCAATTAACTAGACAAAAGCTTATCTCCCTGAAGCTAATTAAAGGATTATCCCTTAATCCAATATATTGCAAAGAACACAAAATAACGCACAAACTATTCCAGTCAAAAAATGTTCATATATTCAAATGAAGATATATAATTGGGCATCAAAATGGTCTAACTTTTAAGCACTAATACAAAGTAACAACAAAGTTATTTTTTATTTAAATTCAACAATGTTTAGCACACGCACATTGTACAACAGGCCATAGCATGCTTCCGTAGGCATTCGTCTAATTGACGTTCAAAATGTGCAAGATTTACTACAATGAGCAAATTAAAAAATCAAACTATTTTTATCCTCATTTAAATGTCCTAAAAATGTTGAAAAAATTACTGAATTTAACTTTGTTTGCTGAACAAAGTTGGCATTGTATTCGCCGACCACGGGCCGACATTTTGATTTTTATACGCCCACATTTTCATGTGGACGTATTATGCCGTCCGTCCGTCCACAATTGTTTGTGGACACTCTACAGGTCACAATTCTTATCCAATTTTGACGAAACTTGAAATATAGGTTTATCTCCAAAAGATCTCGGCTGCTTTCGATATTGGCATGTATCGGATCGAAACTTCCTGAATTATGGCCCCTGATTGTACAAAAAATCACGTTTTTAGCTTGTGGACCCTATAGAGGTCATAATTTTTATCCGATTTAAAAAAATGTATTATTATATCGGCCCAAAATTGACAGACAAAATCATAATTTTTATCCGATTTAAAAAACCGAATTATTATATCACCGTTACACCCTAAGGATGGCCGAGTTCGAATTTCGTGAAAATCGGCCCAAAATTGACAGACAAAATGGCCGCCGTTCGTTCCCAAATAGCGTAAAAATATGGTATATCAAGGTTGTGGACCCTATAGAGGTCACAATTTTTATCCGATTTTGTTGAAACTTGAAATGTAAGTTTATAACCCAAAGATCTCAGTTCCTTTCGATATTCGCGCATATGAGACCGTAACTTCCTGAATTATGGCCCCTGATTGTACGAAAAATCGTGTTTTTAGCTTGTGGACCCTATATAGGTAATAATTTTTATCCGATTTAAAAAAACGTATTATTATATCACCATTACACCCTAAGGACGGCTGAGTTCGAATTTCGTGAAAATCGACCCAAAATTGACAGACAAAGTGGCCGCCGTTCGTTCTCAAATAGCGTAAAAATATGGTATATCAAGGTTGTGGACCCTATAGAGGTCACAATTTTTATCTGATTTTGTTGAAACTTGAAATGTAAGTTTATAATCCAAAGATCTTGGTTCCTTTCGATATTCGTGCATATCGAACCGTAACTTCCTGAATTATGGCCCCTGATTGTACGAAAGATCGCGTTTTTAGCTTGTGGACCCTATAGAGGTCATAATTTTTATCCTATTTAAAAAAATTTATTATTATATCGGCCCAAAATTGAGAGACAAAATGGCCGCCGTCCGTTCTCAAATCGCGTAAAAAATATGGTATATCCGCTTTTGTTGAAACTTGAAATGTAAGTTTATAATTCAAAGATCTCGGTTCCTTTCGATATTCGTGCATATCGGACCGTAACTTCCTGAATTATGGCCCCTGATTGTACGAAAAATCGCTTTCTTTTTAGCTTGTTCTCTATCTTGTTCTTCTCCGTTTATAATTCCGGAAAAAACAATTTCCCGAACACTATTGAGATTAATATTCACATCTAAAATACCCTTTGATAAAAATCCTACAAATTCTGATTGGAATCACTTTCCATAGCGAAGAAATTATTAAAAGAGTGAGCGCTGGGATATTACAATTCGACGAAGAGTGGCTGCCATTTTTGGTACGCCGTATATCACGTATATCTTCTTCTCTGTTTCATATCTCGGAAAAATCACTTTCCCCGGAACATTTGTCTTTACTGAGATTAATATTCACATGTAAATAAATATCCTTTGATAAAATTCCGTCAAATTCTGAATCGGGATCACTTTCCATAGCAAAGAAATTATTAGATGGACGAGCATGAAAATATTAAACTTGCGTACAAAATGGCGCCCTATGACACAAATTTTCTAGAGAGTTTACGACCTTATAACCCTGCCTGAAACCATTGATGTGACGTATATGTTTTATGATTTCGATCATTAGTTTAAACTATACGCTTATTAGATAACTACTTTTGGAAAGCCAATCGTCTTTTTTATAACTTTATTGATCAATAAAACAATACATCAAAAAGGCCAGCAGCAGCTGTTGATGAGCAAATTGTCTTGCGAGTTTACGACCTTTATAACCCCTAAACCTTTGATGTGACCTACAAATTTTATGATTCCAGTAATAAGTTCAAACTATATATTTATTGGATAACTACTTTTAGGAAGCCAATTGGCCTTTTTTGATAACTTTCTTGATCAATAAAACTTTACATCAAAGAGGCCGACAACAGTCGTCGTTAGGAAAAGTGACTAGACATTAGGTAGTCGACAGGTGGCATAAGTCGGTGAAATTCAGTACCCTCCACCCTGCATCACTGACAAGGGGGAACCACGTCGGAAATGAAACTTGGTGTATAGTTTCATTACATCAATACCTTGACTAAGTTCAATAATGAGCATTTTCTTCTCAGACTAAGCAGAGCGATAAGCAATTTGATTGGTCGAGACATTGGAACAATTGATGTAGAATGTTCAAACTTGGTGTAGGCTTTCATTAGGTGAATGCTTTGATGGAGTTCGATGATGAACATTGTATGCTTACGGTAAGCAAAGATAAGCAATCTGATTGGTTGACGTTTTGGGGCATGATAACTTTGGTTATAATGAAGTGAGAGCAATGAAATATAGATTCATTATATCATTACCTTGACTAAGTTGGACGGTGAGAATTTTCGGCCTAGGTTAAGGAGCGATAAGCAATTTGATTGGTCAAGTCTTTGGAACATAACAACTCTGCTTTTAATTGAGGTAGAATGTTTAAACTTTTGTCTTTATCTATTAAAAGCTGCAACGAAACAAGTACAGGTTACGTACGTTGTACTAATTTTAACACACAAAACAATAAACTGGCTATGAGTTACGGGTTGCGCGGTACTCATTTCAACACGCAAAACAATAAACTGGCAATGAGTTAATGTTTACGTGGTACTCATTTCAACACGCAAAACAATATAGACATATGGTAAATTTAGCTTATCGCTATATACCCGGATTCTAATTGTGGTCTGACTGCTGGATACTTGTAAATGAAGACATTGTTTTCACCTTTTTACGACAGATTAGGGTCCATATTTATATTTTATTATGCAACTTTATAAGTGGTGTGGCTTTTAAACACGTACTTTGTCTTATGTTCATCAACAAATACAAAAGACGCATAGAAGAAACAGCCCAGTGCAACTCCACATATAAAGACCTGTCCTTATACAAAGACCTATTTGCATAAAACACACCCGCGAATGAAAAATCGCACAGTAAAAACAATTTTCCTTCCCAAGTTTTGATTTAACACTCGCGCGTCAGATAAAGCCTGTTGGTCCTTGATTATATACCCTTTTGGTGCAGTTATAACAACTATCGAGAAAACTCACCAATTAAACAATATACACTGTGTCATTCGTTTTTAACCCGTCGGTTAATTAACACACTCAGTACAGAAAAAACACCGTCCCAGAGCTGTTCACCCCTGGCGATAATTAACACACATTATCTAGAGATTTTAAGCCATAATGAGGAGTTATAAGCCAAATTTTATTTTGTTATCCAAATACGTAGGAATTGACCTTTTGGGTTAGATTTATATACGGCAAACGTACAGATTAACCCTTACCTATTTCTCAGTGTTTGCAGTGTTAGTACATCGTGGAGATTTGCTTGACCAGATAGTAAGACAGTTGACTGATAATGTATTTTGCAGGAGAGTATTAGACTACCAGCAGCACCACCTACATATAATACTAATGATGTTACCAAAAGAGAAAAACCTACTACAGGTAAGTATGAATGTCAATCAAAAAACTTAGCCAATAAAAAAAAATGTTCATTGTATCTGTAAAGAACTGCCTATCACATAGTTGTAATTCAGTCAAGAATGGGCCAAAACCCTGGTCATGGCACAAAACGTAGCTTATGCGGGTCTTCATTACCCGGTTAATGCAGAAAAAAGTGCATTAAACCTCATTTTTTCCCCCCATAAGTCTTGTTAGCACTATAGAGGCTTCATTGATGTACTAGAGAATTGCAGGTGTTACCATTATTTTGACATACTCAAAATTATTAATAATAATAACCATAGTGGAAAATTATTAATAATAATAACCATAGTGGAATTCCTATTCAACATTGGAAGGCCTCTGCTGTCATATCTTGTGTTCCCCATAGTTCTCATGATATAGCTTTGATCTTTCACATTTTGTGTTCCATTCAAACTAACCCCATACCCAGCACCGGAGCAAAGAACAAACAAAAGAACGGATGGTGTACAATGTCATTTAATAATGACTAATGTCAATGAATACAAATCTTTAACAATACTACATGTATAAACACTAATAATACAAAATAAAATCATATTTCAGTCTTAAAACTGAGTTGGGCTTAAAAATAAACAAATAAATGGCCCGTAAAACAACAAATAAATGAGCATAAATCACATTAAAAGGAAAATGTCATAATGTAAAACATACTATAATGCTTAAGTTAACAGCACAGTAACTGAGTATAATCACATTAAAAAGACAAAGGCATATTATAAAAATTATACTATAACAACTAAATTCAAGGCGGAGAAGGAGGGTTATAATCGAAAATATCGTGGATAAACACAATCGTCCTGTCTGTGCACTGCTAATTTTGTTGTGATGAAAGAGCTGGAAAAATAACGCGGGAACTTAGATTATTTACATAATCAGGAACAGGAACATATCAAGAGTAACCAAACATAAGTGAGGACTGTAACACAAAAATCATTATTGACAATAATGTTTATTTGTGTTTCTATTGCAGGATTCCGAATTCTGGCCAACACCCGGCCCAGAAAGTCTATTATACCAGCCTATTCCAGACTCCAGTGATGGTGTGGCGGCCTGTTGAAGCCACCGGCCACATACAACATGATCATCATCCCTCCATGGCTGGTCCAATACCCCCCTCCCCCCCATATAATGTTCAGCAGAAAAAGTTTTTTTTAGACGAATTGGTCAAAATTATTTTTTTCATTTTTGTCCGACCAGCCCGATGGCCCAATCCGCCCTTGATTGGGCTTAAAAATTAACAAACAAATGGCCAAACATATCACAAAATGCCATGGGCCTTGTTTCGCTTTGTTAAACCCTGTGAATGCTCTAATGACAAAAGTTATCATCCAATTTATACGGAAGTTATATTAGTGGAACGAAGAAGTCTATTGAATTTCAGCAATTTCTGTTAATTATGTCTAGAGTTATGGCCCTTGTCTCACTTTGTCGAACCCTATAATTTCTCTAACGACAATAATTAACATTCTATCTGTATGAAATTTATATGCATTATTTAAATTTGTGAAACCAAGAATGCTTTTGAATTTCAGCAATTTCTGTTAATTATGGCTAGAGTTATAGCCCTTGTTTCATTTTGTTGAATACTGTGAATGCTCTAATAACAAAAGTTACCATCCGATCTGTTTGAAATTTATATGTATCATTTAGATTAGTGAAACCACGAAGCCTATTGAATTTCAGCAATTTCCATTTATTACGTCTATAGTTATGGCACTTGTTTCACTTTGTTCAACCTTGTTAATGCTCGATTGATGACAGTTATCATCCGATCTGTATGGAATTTATATGCATCATTTGAATTAGTACCACAAAGAAGCCTATTGAATTTCAGCAATTTCTGTTAATTTTGACTTGAGTTATGGCCCTTGTTTCCCTTTGTCGAACTCTATGAACGCTCTAATGACAAAAGTTATCATTCGATCTGTATGAAATTTATATGCATTATTTAAATTAGTGAAACAAAGAAGCCTATTGAATTTCAACAATTCCCGTTTATTAAAGATACATTCCCGCCTACAAACTGGGTGATTTAATGGTATATATGGACTAAAAACATATTCAAACTAATTAATTTGTCATAATTTTGTTTCAAATCCTTCTCAAACATTGTAATTGCGAAGGAATGTCCTGCTATAAAAATTCGATCGAACCAGGTCATGTTTACGTCATGTGACTTACCTCTCTTGGAAGTCAGAGGAGAATTCATTGCTACATAAGACGATGTTGTCTTTAATCGCTTACTATTTATTACAAATATCGAATCCTAATTAAATTCTCGGATTATCCACTACCCGCGTCTTTTTCATAAAGTTTATCAAGTTGTACATCAAGCGCTCTTAATAAAATCTAGTTGCTTTTTGTGCTGACATAAATTAAATATTACGCTTGGATGCATTGGAAGCGGTAAATTTGACCGTCGGTGAATCTTGCGCCGAACGAAAATTCTTCACTCAAATCTCGGACATAACTTAACAGGAGTGGCCTGTTAATAAAATCTTGGTGCTTTTTGTGCTGACATAAATGAAATATTACGCTTGTGATGCATGCGATAATATTTATCCATTTTTGTGAAGAAAATCGACGAATTAATTTTATTTTATCAAAAAAGCACATGAACAAAAAAACATCGCTAATTTTATCACCTTTTTACAGGGGGTGTAGCTCTGTATGTAATATTATAGGAGGCGCTAAAACGTCTGTTTAACAATAAAGTGGCAATGGAAAAGAGATACTAGATGATCGTGACAAAACTCGGTACTTTTATTTTATTCAATCAGTATCAAATAATGTGTCGTTACGCATGAAAACAATGATCAGGTTAGTCGTTTAATAAAACAAAAGATTAATTAACAGATAATCCCGGGTTGATTGTTATTTTTACATTTCTTTTTACCTGATCAGTGGGGGTCCAGTTAATTAACTACTACTCACAGGATTAGCGGGGGTGTTACAAAGAACGACAAGATGGTATCATTCAAAAATGGCCGTTGAATGGGCGATGTTTTGTTGAATTTATTAGTAAAATAGTGACCGCTGGCCACGTTAGAGGAGTGACCGTTGAATAAAGAGATGAAACAACAGAATTTCTACGGGGGGAATTTATCGTGACCGCTTACAAGGAAATGTCGCTGAATAGGAGTGGCTGCTCATACAGATTCTGCTGTATATTTAGACATAGTTGTATACATTCAATAATACATATAACATAGAAAACACATACATGTACAGTGTACACACAAGTAAATACATTCATACAGACATGCGATACTCTTGTTGGCTAATAGTCTTGTTTCATCAATTTTCACTCTATTATGGATTATCGCTCCTAAATATTTCCAATTGTAAATTAGATTTACTGTGGAGTGAGGCACTGATTTCGGAATGTGATGCTGTTTTGGGCGATTTCAACACCAGAGATGCTTCTTAAAGGAGGCATACAATCCCTGCGGCGGCCCCATGACAATTTCTAGATATCAAAAGTAGTTTAGAACTGTCTATGTGATTAATTACAAAAGCCCATGTATTCCATCAATGCTACTTCTATTTATATATATGTGAAGTGGATATTTTTCATATAATATTTGTATTGTCATCATTGTGTTCTATACATTTCTGTCTCCTCGTTAACTGTATGCTATTTATTTGTTTGTAACAGTATTATATTGTTAACAATTGTAAATATGGATCTGGTACTGTCAAGCTTATTACAGGCTATAAAACTGTGTTCTGTTAAATAAAAGGGTGTTGATAAGAAAACTTGATTAACCGTAAAAATGGATAAGCGAGACTAGTCTATTATCGTTACAACAGTAACAATGACAACTAAGCTGAGGCTACAGTGTTATTGAAATGAGGTTTTTGTTTCTCTGCTCAGAGTTAAGAAACTTTACTGAAATTTTCAGCATATTCCCTTTACATTATCTATTTTTATACGCCACATTATTTTCATGTGGATGTATATTGTCGT